ATTGACTGCCTTCTTTAACAAACAAGAGAAAATTTCCATTGCTATGGTAAAGAGATAGGGGAAAATGGATCCCCCTGTCTCAATCCCTTAGCAACTGCAAAATACCCACACAAACCTCCATTGAATGAGACACTTAACATAGGAGAAGTGACACAGGCTTCCACCAACTTCACAAACTCAGCAGGCATACCCATAGCAGTCATAACTTTGAATAAAAACCCACAATCCACTGAGTCAAACGCCTTCATTAGATCTATCTTAAGAGCACATCTTGGAGAGATTCTGTTCTTATTATAATCTTTTACTAATTTTGTTGCCATTAGGATATTGTCACTTATTAAACGACCCTTGACAAATGCATATTGACTTTTATTGATTAGTTTTGGCAGAATCAGGGACAATCTTCGAGCTAGAAACTTAGAAATCCCTTTATATATAACATTGCAGCACGAAATAGGATGAAAGTCCTTCATCTTTTCAACTATAGGAATCTTAGGTATAAGTGACAAGACTGTAGAATTTACCTGCCTAGGCATTCTCCCTGTATTAAAGAAGTCCATAACAGTGTTCTCCACATCAACCCCCACACTATCCCAGTCCATCTTAAAAAATTCAGCAATGTATCCATCAGGGCCAGGGGCCTTATCATTTCATATGTTAAAGAATACATTTTTTATCTCTTCACGTATGACAGAAGAAGTCAACAATACAACTTCCTCAGGTGTTATCTTATGACTAAGCAGATTCTCAAAGAACTCAAGAGGGTGTTGCTGAACATTGGGATCAGCCACTCCTAATAAGCCTTTATAGAAATCCACTACCACCACTACCAGTTTACTCATTCCCTTCACATATGTTAAGACCTCTCCAGCTTCAGAAACCAGCCTCTGAATAGTCTGCCTATGATTCCTTGTTTTAACCACATCATGAAAAAAAACCAGTATTAGCATCCCCTCGCGTTATCCATTGGACCCTAGACTTTTGTTTATAGAATAACTCCTCAGCACTTTGCAACTCTCTACACACTTTCTCCTGTTCAATAACTGCCAGTGAATTTGATGAAGAAGGATCACCCAATACACTACTTTGCAGCAGCTCCAATTGTGCCTCAGCTTCTCTTGCCCTTGTTGATATTTCTGAGTATTCAGATCTGTTCAACCATTTAAGCTTTGCCTTTAAGTCACCCAGCTTCTTGTACAGAACACGACAAGGTGCCCCACTAGCCTGCACTTGCCAAGCTTCCTCTAAAAACCCTCTGTATTGTGGATGTTGCCGCCAAAACAAAATGAATTTTTATGTTATTAAGATCTGTATTTTTTATAAATACGAAGTATTATGCTAAACAAAAAATAAAAACTCATTCAAATGAGAGATTTCTTCATTGTCTTTCTATTCGAGTTCGAGCGAGAGAGATGAGAGTGGATACAAAATCAAATACGAACAAAGCGGTGAAAGATGAATGGTTATTTCTTCTTCTTCTCTGCCAATTTGTTCCCTTCTTCTCTTCTAAGAGTAACATAGAAAGAAGAGGGATGATTGGATGAGTCTTTTGTATTAATGGGTGGATTGTTTTGGTAGCTTAAGCTTAGTTTGAGATGATATTTGGTAGAGCTTTAAGGCTCCAATTATGAGTAAACAAAAAAGAAATGAGCTTTCCTTCTTAATTTTCATTTTGTTTCCTTAGGTCACTTGCCGCTAACTGGAAGTTTCGAGTTTAATACCGATATTTTAGCAACAAGGAGAAATTCACTATGACACGTTCGTTAAAAAATTGTTTTTGTAGCATATCCTTTATGAATAAAAATAAATAAGTTTAAAATAAAGACAAAAAAGAAATCATAGTCACATTGTCTTGGGCTTCTACCATTATACTTATTATGAATGGTCATACTATTGCTATCCATAATGAAAAAGAACATTTACCTGTTTATATCCATGTTTTTTTTACAAAATTTCCTTGTGTTCTTTCTAGAGAGGGCAAAGATGAAGATCATCAAATGGGGTCCACCTTAATGGAGTATTGCCCCTTATATTGTGGTTATTTAAATTTGGACCGCATAATGAATAGTAGCTTTACAATTTGTTGTGCATCTATTTAAAGAGTAACTTCATCAATGATGTTAGGTATTCTGGCTTTTGAGTATTATTTTTGACCTATAGATGTTTCTTATGCGTAAACAAGGTCGTCTACCCATTTAGAAAAAGAATAGTTCTTTTTTATATTCATGGTACTTTTATGGTATTCTACCTTAATAAGATTAGTTCGGGTATAATTGAGACACACCTCAACTGCTATGTACACATTTTTAGAATTTTTTACTATTTCTGTTTATTCTTTAACTTTTGTCAGTGTATGGAGCCGAAATCTTGTATAAGGCACCTACTTCTGATAAATGGAAGGAGAAAGTACATTGATTCAGTTTAATTTCTATTTGTCTTAGATGTGCTATAAATCTTATGTCTCTCTAACATTATCTAAGAGGTCGTTTGGAAGTTGCGATTGTTAGTGTTGTATTTGTTAAATACATGTATTGTCCACAATACAACGTTTGGAAGTGTCAAGTTGCAAAACAATGCATGTATTGTTTTGTGTGGGTCCCACCAACAATCAACAAAAATGAGGGATTGTACAATCTCAACTAAAAGTTGAGATTGTTGTGATTGTTGGTTTAATAATTGAGCACATTTACTTTTTCCAATTATGTCCATAGTTCTTTTTGTTTTATATTAAAAGTGGAGGACAAATATGACATTTCCTTATAAAGTAACTTTATAACAATCAATTCATAAATTATAATCTCAACAACCAAACAATGTAATTTCAAAATGCATCTATTGTATCAATACATGCATTTATATCATAGTGATTCATAACAATACAACGATTTAACATACGCAACTTCCAAACGACCCCTAAATTAGTGACTATCTAATGTCAATTATGTATGCTGCATTGCTTTTCATTAGCTCCATGGATAGGCAATCATCTTATGTCAAATTATTGGACTCGATATCTTTGTTGAACCATTCCTTTATACTTTGTTAGGAAGTTCCAAGTCTTTGTATAAAGGTGAATCATCGTGGTTTTGTTTCTCTGGTTTGTTGTTAGCCTTCAATTATGATATAAACTATGTTGAAAGCTCTGAACGTGTTCTTAAATTCATATGTTATTAAAATTTGTATTTTTGTAAATATGAAGTATTATGCTAAAGAAAAAATAAAAACTCACACAATGGGAGATTTCTGCTTTGTCTTTTTATTCGAGTTCGAGCGAGAGAGATGAGAAATAATACAAAATCAAATACAAACAAAGAGATGAAAGATGAATGCTTATCTCTTCTTCTTTTTCTTCAATTTGTTCCTTTCTTTTCTTCCAAGAGTAACGTAGAAGTAAAAGAGAGATGATTGGATGTGCCTTTTGTATTATTGGATGGATTGTGTTAGTAGCTTAAGATTAGTTTTAGAGGATTATTGGTAACTATGTGTTTTATATATTCTTTTTTACTTACTTTCTTCTTGGAGAGGGAAAACATCGAGATGATCAAATGGGCCCCACCCTAACCGCTAGTGAATAGTGATTTGGTAACCAAGCTTTTTATATACCAACAATTTGATTTGGTTGTACATTAATCATATTCATTGAATTTGATCATTGGTCCTGAAAATTTCGTACAAGTCTTGTGTATCCTGATATGGATTTCGTTAGTTGATGCTTTGTAGTCATCAATAAGAGGTTAAAGAAAGTCTTTTTAGATGTACCGTGCGAGAAGATTGATGGAAACACGAACAAGATACTCATCACCAACACCAAAATATTGTGTAAGGTGCAAAAATAAATTGTGCTTGGTATAATTTTATAGTTGCATATCATCTAATGTTGGAACTACACATGTATATTTTATGAAACCCTATTCTTCAAATTAGTTGCAGCCGAACACTACTCGGAAACAACCTAACCTAAATGACCCTAATAAAATTCCACCCTTAACTCGGCCCGCACCCAAAATAATGACATAAACACAAAACATCAACTGAAATAAAACATACACCATCACTCAAACTAACTCTGATAGACTCATTCTATATCATTATTGGTTGGGTCCCGATAACTCGAATTATAGAGAGAAAATGAATTATAAATCTTATATCACTCTCTTACAAAGTTTCTATAAAAGATATGTCGAGTAAATCAGTTGAGAAAATTATCATGAAGGAGGTGAGAGGAGGTGAGAGTAAAAGAGATAATCAATGGCTGGTTGCTATGTGTGCTCTCAATGTGCCATGTCTTTGGAGTCCCTTACTTTCCAAAACTTGGATAATATGTATGAGTCTCAGAATGGGATGAGGATTGACCACTTGCTCTATGAATCTCCATGTAGGCCTTGGGAGTTGGGACTTGATAAATCTTGCTCGACAAGTGTTAGCTTCAATAGAATGTTGCTAGTTTGACTCAACTAAATCGCATTCAGAAAAGTACAGTAACTTCTATAGTTCTATCCTAATCAATTAATTTACATATTCATATGAAAAAAATAACAACAAACTTAAGTTAACCATCTTTTTAATTTTAGAAATAGGAGGGTGCAACAAAAATCATGTGGATGGAGAGAAATTGACAAGAAAAAGAAACCCCTCAATTTTGGTCTCATTGATCAAGATCAATTGAAAATGAGATGAAAAGATCTATTTTTGTAACATTAGTTAGTTTTTACTTAGAGAAAAAAAAGGAAGAATTGATAACGATCACACCACATGTTTGTTTCTTTTCTAATTAGTTAGAACTTAGAACGGTTGAATGATCCAAAGCAAAATGAATGGCCAAGCGATTCTTTTGCTATTGAATGGCAACACAAAAATGCCTATTCACTTCCCTTTGTCATAACCCAACATTAACCCCAAAATTATAAGAACCCAATTCAATCGAACGCCACCAGAACCAGCTTCCTTCCCCATTGAACCCAAAAACAATCTAAAGATCACAAATTTCCTAGGAAGCAAGCATGGATTGCACCTCCATCTCCACATTCCTCCTAGTTCTCATCACCATCACAACATGTCACCAAGCTCATGCTCAAGAAGCACCACAAGCTGCACCTGGACCCTCAACTTCAACCTCCGCTTCAGCTACAGGTCCAACAATGACCAAGCCAGAGCTCCTAGCCAAAGCATGCGACAACACACCGCTCACAAAGGACCTCTGCAGGTCGTTCCTCGCCTCATTCCCTGAATCCGAGGTGAAAGATATCCACGCGCTGGCCAAATTCGCGATCAAGATGACGTCCCTGAATGCGAGCAAGACCCACGATCAGATTGAGACCATGGAGCATAATCCGGCCACGGACGACGTGACCAAGCAGCGCCTAAACGATTGCGCTGAGAACTACCAGGACGCCATTGACCAGCTGGAGGACTCTATGCCTGCTCTGGATTCAAAGGTGTACGACGATGTGATCACGTTCATTACCGCCGCGGTGCAGGATGTGGAGTCGTGCGAGGATGGGTTCAAGGAGCCTCCTGCGGTTAAGTCGCCAATGACAGAGACCAATGAAGTGTTCACCCAATTGTGCAATATTTGCCTGTCAATCACCAACATGTGTGGCAAATAGATTTTACCCATTTCTTTGAACAGGGGGTAAGGAGGGATGATTGGTCTAAGCGAACAAACGAAAACGCGTCAGGGATTCAACCCAGAATGGGATTATTGATAGGAAAAAACAGGACAGAATGGTTAACAATGTCTGGCTTTATTTGTCAATCAATACAAGCTTCCAATTCATAGTATGAGATTTTTAATAAACAAGTAAAAATTAATTTTTCCTTGGGAGGATAGAAAGAAAGAAAGAAAGAAACCCTTTAACACATATGAGTGATAGATGAATCCAATTAACCTACTGATCTAAAATTGAATCGCGCAACTGAAAAAAAATTCTTGTTTCTGGGTTTATTTGTCCATCTATGTTGTCTTAAAAATGAATTTAATCGATATAGCCAGCTGGTAGGAGGGAGAATTTGTGAAAGTGTGATCCAATAACATTGGAGCGCGACTCCATTTTGATTTGGGAGAAGGCTCAAGCAGAAAGGATAAGCAACTGATGCTTTGATTTACGCACAGATAAAATCCTGGAGGCTGTTTTTCACATTGAAGCTATTTCCAGGAAGAACTCTGAGCGGTATTTCACAAAACAGAAACATAGATTGAAAGACGGCCGAACCCAGTTGAAAATTTGCGAACAGATTTCATGAAAATAAGATGATTGAGAGTTAACTCTCACGGAAAGACAGACTAGGGTTGCGGCGTGGATGAGAAGAAGAGGCAAGGAGCTTCAAATTGATTTGATGTTGGCAGAAGAACCCTAATTGTTCCCATTTATAGAAAGCTTGGCTCCCGCACTGGATTTTGTTGTTTGGGCCTACGGATGAGTATAGATCTCAAAGGGAGCTTTTATGGGCCAAACGCCCACAGCATCATGATCACTAAGTCCATGATCAGATTGATAAGTGGCCTCATCTATGGCTGGAAGTTTGGTACTGGTATTTGGGATATACCGAATACCGTACCGAATTTGTCTATTTTTGGTATTACCTAATACACGTATTATTTGTTGGGATTGGGATTGAATTTCAATTGTAATTCGGTATTAGGGATTACGAGATTCGGATCAGTATATACCGAAATACCAATCAATACCGAAATATAAGTTATTGTGTATTTTATCTTCTCAACTAGACTCTCTCATTCACTACTACACGACCCTCAACCACCAAAAGTCTCATTTAATTATACATAGATCATTTCATCTTTGTTTCACAACTCAGAAGTCCCCATCCAACTCAATTTTAACTTTCCAATTTAAGTCACTCTCATCTTTCACATAATCACTTGTTATTTTCATAACACCAAAAAGCAAACACTAGTATTAGTCGTCTCTCGGCCGCCAATTCATTAAATTAAAATTACCAATGACAATAACTTGAGATGTCACATCTCCTTCATTCTCCTTATCCATATCGTAACTCTAAGCAAACTCAATACTCTTTGCTTAGTCTCTTTACCTTAAATTAAAAAATCAAATCTAATTTATATATTTAAGTCAGAATACATTTTTATAGCAATAACTATTCGCGTTGTGACAAATATAGCCAAATTTTGAAAAATACACTCATATAGGCTATAGCCACTTTTGAAAACTTGGTTGACAACTTTAGCCATTTTCGTAACAAACTTTAACACGGTTAACTATTCAATGATGTGGATGTACATGTCATCAAATGTATGTCACGTGTTAGTTTAACTTATTATTTTAAATAATTTTCTTAATGATTTTTTTCACCACAATTCTAATAAGAACGAAAAATCATTTAATTTTTCTTTTTGAATTCACCTTTCTCCTTCTTCCCCCATGGAGACAGCAGAGAACGAGATCCGATCTCCGCCTGTCACTCTCCAATCTTCGTCCTTCGAAACCAGTTCCGGTGTTGAACTCCGTCGTCCCCACACTCTTCGTTCTCTCCCAACGACCTCGCCACTATGGCAGCTGTTGTCACCACCGCTCCAATCGTGTCGAAGGCTACCACCACATAATCCCATTAATCCCTTGACAGATACACGCAGAGAGAATTACCCTCTAATTAGACAACAAAACCAGATCCATATATACACAAACAAAAGGAGCCGACGAAAAGAGCAGCGAAAACCCTCCAACGTCGCCACGAGGTACTCACTCCCCACACCCTCCAGCTTCGATGATGCCCCAATCGCTCACAAAATTCGACGATTCTGCCAGCTTCGATGATTCCGCCGCCCTCAAAATCCCCAAAACCAAACATTTCCTTCTCGGGTGAAGCAGCTCTGTTGGCGCCGGAAAAATGGTGCTCTGCTTTGTTAACTGTGCAGAGAGAGAGAGAGAGGTTTGAGGGGAGGACGAGTCAATAGAAGAGAGTAAGTGTTGTTGTTATTACAGGTTAGAGGCAAAATATATATTTTGCCAGATGATTGATCTATAATGAATGGGTTTATGGTGAATTTAAGTTAACGTGAAGAAGTGGAGAGGCGGTTCCTCGACGCGGTGGAGGGAGAAATCCAGAATCAAAGGTGAAGGCAGCTACATGAAGTGACAGTTCCTCGACATCGACAAACAAGAACGACAAACCCAAAAGCAACAATAGAAGAAGCAACCGCAACCGATATGGAAAGAAATCATCACCGGCAGAATCGCTTCGATTTGCAGAAATCCCCTATCCATAGGTTGCCCCAAATCATTGTCAGAAGAAGCCGACGATGAGGAGTATCAATCGCAGATGGAATAGCCGCAGACGAACCCAGAAGCAAAACGGAAAACAGAGAAAGGCGGATCCAAAACCCTATGTTCTCTTTCATTTCCTTTATTTTTTTTGTTTTTCAGTTAATTAAAATAAAAATATTTCTAACTTGGAAAAGTCAAGAGTAAAAGTGGCCACATCATCATAAACCGTTAGTCCGGTAAGAATTTGTGATGTTTCCGTTAAAGTTTGTGCCGAAATGGCTATATGAGTGTATTTTTCAAAATTTGGCTATATTTGTCACAACACGAATAGTTATGGCTATGAAATTGTATTTTGCCTATATTTAATTTTTTTTATTTCAAATGTAATTAATTTCTTATTCAATAATACCGATGGGGATACCGAAGTACCGATCAGGATACCAGAATATTTAGGGATTGGGATTAGGATTGATTTTTTAGTGTAATTCGATATTCGGGATTTCGGTATTTGATATTTGGATACCGATACCGTATCGATTTCCACCCCTAGCCTCATTCGTTGATCACACATTTAGATGGTTGATTATTGTTGGGTTAATAGCATTTTGTACCCCTTTACTATTGTCGATGAACAAACATACCCCTCTATTAATTTTTTACACGAACATACCCTTATAATATTAAAATGTAACGATTGTACCTTTCCATCCAATTTTATGCTAAAAGACCGTTTAATGGGCTGTAAAATAACCTTATTGTCCCTCATTAAAACCTAAGATTTGATTAATTTTTATTCATAAACCAATTTCTTCGACGCCCTGACTTTCACCATTCACCAATTAGTGTCGGCTACTTCATCAACGCTCTTCAAATCCTCCCATGTTCCAGACCCACCGCCGCAAGGGACGAAAGGGAAAAGAAGAAATTCCCCCTGCGACCCAGTTATTCCCTCCTTCCCTCTCTCTATAAAACAAATAGCGAAGCGTAACTGATACACCTAAAAGGCCCCCCTCAATGAAAACCTCCCCAAATTCCGCTATTAACGACAAGAACCAAGAACCCCACCGTCAAGAAGAAAGAAGCGAAAAAAAAAGATGAAAACTCTAGCTATGTGTGAGACGCTAAAGAACAAGTACCAAGTGTGCAGACGGGGGCGATTCGGCATGATCTCCCAGTGCTTCTTGCCGATGAAGAACTCCTTTGCCTGCAAACCATCGACAAATCTGTTACGAGACGAGCTATCGTAATAACTCGGACAATTTCTGAGCTCATCTATTTTAGTAGTTTATTAATTATTAAGTGTTTAGGATATTATTATTATTATTGATTCCTAGTCTTAGTAGGATTTTTATTGTCTTTTGGTATTTGTTTAGGATTTGGTTGTGGTGTCCTTGTAGGAGAAGGTTACATGCTATGGGTAGGAATAGGGAAGAGTGGATCGAAACCATAAGGAAGGTGAGGATTTTGTGCCTATAAATATGTAATGTCTTATTCATTTAATGGTATGAAGAAGATTGGAACCCAAATCTAGTTTATTATCTTTCGTTTATCGCAATTTACCGCGTTTTATCGTAGTTTGTTAGTTTTATCGCAAGGAAGTTATGAGACAAGAATTCTTCAGTTTTTGTCTCGTAACAATTGGTATCAGAGCCTGGTTTGCTCAAGACCAGAGTCCAGGTAACCGAGTTTCATCATCACACACCGCCCGATTACTACACATCGTATAAGATGATGTTCAACTGGGATTGGCCTCACGAGGAAGGACCAGGGGGTACTGTTGCCAATAAATCCCAACAGCCAGTTGGTTGGAAGGAGAGACTAATCCGCAACTTCCCCGGATACATCATCGCTGTCAGCCATGACAAGGTGGCTACACAACCACCTTCTTCCAAGAGCACACCACCAAACCAAGACGATGATTTCCAAGCAGACATCTTGGCACACTTGAAGGAAAGTCGATAGAAGTACAACCAATCGATGATGACTATCCAAACGAGGCTACGAATGACGATGTCATTGCCACCCATCGTTGAGCCCTCTAAAGAGCTAGCCTACGAGGTTATAGCTCCATCCATCATACCTGCCTCACCAATAACCCCTAGCCCTAACGCGACGACAGTTGTTTGCGCACCAACATCCGCACTGCCATCGTGTCCCGTTTCGGTTATCACAACTATAGTCGAGGGGAAGCTTCCAACAACAGCCGATCCATTAGTTGAAGAGCCAACCCTAGCTTCAAAGTGGCCTCCAAACAAATACCTGTCTCTGGCTACCGACAAGAAGCTAGCTCCAGCGCCGCCACTAGCCACGTCAACCACCATTAAAGTATCAATCACCAACTGTTGTTGGCGGGCCACCGTCCACCAACGTCCTCATCGCACTAGCTTTCACCTAACTGCATGCCATAACCCTCGAGTGAACGAGATCATTCATTGCGGAAAGGCACTCTCGCCAGCCGGAGTATAAGACTTCGTGAGCAGGTGGTTGATAAGGCCATGTATGGGACTTTGGTGTCAAAGTTGCGCAGAGATGGATTGAATTGATTCAATCCCTCAATTTCAACCAAACAGGGGTGAAATTGATAGATGTGGATGGTCGATTTCGTGCAGTTCTTCACGCGATGAAAGGCTCGAAATAGATAGTTGGTGCTTGGCAACGATCAAGGGGGTGATTGATCGATACAAGCTCCTCGAGCAACCTAGAGTCCCTCTACGTCACTCTTCTCAAACTCACGAAGCACACAAGCTTGTGAACCAACTCGGGTTGTATTCAACTTCAACGAAAAACTGACAATTACAATGAATTGGAACTCTTAAATAGACCTACGCTACTAATCAAACTACTCTGGAAATCCTTAACACAATCAAACACGAAAAACTAGTTCAAAACAGAAAAGGTAAAACATGATAGTAGTAACCCTAGTCCGAGTCGGATTCAGATTACTCTGCAAGACAGTCTTCCAAATGAGATTCCTGGATATTTGATATTCACATAAATCTTAGTCGCGCGGGACGCAACAAATGAATAGTATCCTAGTAAACAAACATTAATAATTCGAGAGCAACATAAGTCATATTTCATTACTTAGGGAACTCACATAAGAAGATACAGATACGTACTTAAGATTGCCATTTGTCTAATTTATTACATAAAACAATAACTAAGACACCTTAAGCCAAAAGGTTCACTTTCATAACAGATACCTACTCATTCATGCTTCCAAAATGAAAAGATAAAACCATTCATTACCTGGTTCCTCATGAATGTATAAGGAGGTAAAGAGGAAGACCTAGCCTAATGCGCCTTCATTACAAAGAAGTTCTTCAAACATAGGAATCATCGAATCGGAGAGGAACACATCCACACACTCTCCACTAATACAGAAACAGAGTAGAATGCAATAACACCAACAGTTTCGAAATTTTCACAGAAATTGAAAATAAAGCTTCATGTCACATACTCAATCAATTGAAGACAAATCCGCTTCTTTCGAAGAGATAAGGCTGGGTATAGGTGCTCAGTTGCTTGGCAGCCCACTATAATTCCAACCAAATCTATAACATATTCAAATAAAAGTTTGGCTCATAAGTTCCTGATTTTAGTAGACAGTAAATATAAAGAATCAGCGGAAAGAAACAAACCTGGAAGAAATTGTTTGTTCTCTTATGCGATAGGGAAATATCTGAATGCAAGGAAGCGGAAACTAATAGGACCAATATCAACACTATCTTGTAGAATGTGAAACATTGTATGAGCACCAAGTACAATATGGAGATTGCTCAAAGCCACTCGGTGATTGGCGACATGTTCCTCAATACCGAAACAACTAATCCCATAAACAACCCCTTCAAAAAGATCCGGCGAGAAGCGGTTCATATCTGGTCACCGAATGATTCCTTCCCTCAATGCACCCTTTCAAAAAAAAAAAACACGAAAAAAAAACAAACCTCATAAAATGTAGCACAAGCCGAGAAAGGAAATCAAACATAACAAACAATGCCACACTACCGACCTGGTGATCAATAAACAACATATTAAGCTGCTGAATTGCGTCACCAGTATAAGTCAATTTAGCCCATAATCTTAGGAGTCTAAAGCTGAGCAGAGACATTTGACCATGAACCTGAAAAACAGAGACATGGTGAATAGGCATTATGTTCAGGACAGAGGGGTAGATGGTTTGGGTTTTTAGCAAAAAGAGAAACTGAATGAGTTGGGTTTATAAAAGAAAGATCAATCAGCGTGCTTGCTTAGAGGGGGAAAAAAAGAGGCGGGAAGTTGAGAAAGTAATGCCATTCAAATTGGAAGTAGTGGGATATCTGACAATTATGTCAAAACTGCCGAATTAAGGAATTCAAATATATAGACAGTTAATTCCCGCCAGCTTGAGAACTAAATTATTAAATTAATTTAAGCAAGATAAAAAATAACAACATATTACTGAATCGGTAGGTGCAAGTAGCATAGGCTTTCTACATCCAATTTTCTTCGATATCATACACAATTTCTGGCTTGGTACTATCAGCTCCCAAAAATTCT